ACAATACAATACAATACAATACAATACAATGATATATATGATATGATATGTTATATACCTGATACGTATGGTAGAGATTCAAGCAATTGAAAGTGAAAGCTTGAAATTATCAAAATTCTGCAATAAAAATGTCGTGTTTACATTCTATTAAAATATTACTGACTGGAGTAGTGAGGAAAGCATTTGTGTCTTTTTTCCACTCCATTAGTAAAAATATGCTGTATTTAATTTGTATGTGAGCAAACAAGTAGTATGAATAAATTTTTTTCATGAGTTGCAAATTGAAAAGTGCAGAGCATGCAGGATATGCTTCAGTGGAAGTCTGTCAGCTTATGCTAGGTAGTTATATACAACAAAATAAGCCATAGATGTGAAACAACTGCATGGGGTTTAATAAACAATCTTGATTTATAGTTGTGTAGATGCAAGAAAAAGCAGTTGTCTTTATTTTCCATGTAATTCTGATTGTTTTCATGTTCAAAGACATGAGTAATTTCAAACCGAGTCCTATTTATTTGCAGCCCACCATGCATAGTAAGGGACTTCACACTGACAGACAAGTGGGGGAATGTTTTATTCAGATGTTAGAAACAGTTGTGAGCACTACAGCATTTCCACTTCAGAAAAATACAATAATTTGTTTTTCAGGAATTGTTTCTAGATGGTTTTCTGATGCAGAAAAGCCACAAACATAAGTGCCATGGTGAATCTGCTGCTCTCTTACATGCCTTAAAATCCCATTTCTTGTTTATGCCATTATCTTCATTACATATGGTATTTTAATTGTTTTTTGAAATGTGAGTGTCATCTAATGATTTTATTCAGACTATTTGTTGCTTAAAAGTAGACAGGAACTGTATCTTTTTAACAAAAGATTGATTAAATTAATATTATTTCTTAGGTATTAGCAGTTATTAGCCAGAGCTATTTAAAAAGGCAAAAATATTGAAGAGAAAGCTATTTTAAGGCTCAGCTCTATAAAATTCCTTTGTGTAATGTTTACTACCAGGAACAATGGATCTGTGGGGCTTCAGTGGATTTTTTCACTGTAGTATGGATGATAAACCTTAAAAAAAATATTTGCAGCAACAAGCTCTAAGGATGTTTCTATTTTTATTGCTCATCCTTAACAGTATTAAAGCAACATACTGGTTCAGAGCAAACTTTAAAAAATAACCTTTTGGAAATGAAATTTAAGCGGTTGAAGAGGAAACACCTATTTCAAAAGCGCAAAGCTGTATGAATATTTGTTATTTTTGGAATAAAGGCCTTGGCTGAATCAACACTTGCTACTGTGGAGAAAAGATAAGGGAAGCAAGGTCTGCCCTGCTACATGTTACACAGAGAAGGATTGCGGAAAAGGGCCACGGACATGGGTATTTGCACATGTAGGATGTCACGCTTTTAGATTTAAGCAATTTAGAAAAATACATCCAGCTTGTAGAAACAATTGCCGGCACATTGCTTGGCTCCAGTCAGTGATCTTCATTTCCTAGGCACCAAAGAAAGGATTTTCCAACTACGGTATTTAGGCAGCCATGCGCCTCAACCTGCAGCCTTTGGCACACAAATCCCAATTATCTTTTGCGTTGGGAGCCCAAGGGCGAGGCGAAACCACCGGCCTCTTTCCTTTCGGGCGGAGGGACATAGCGGCATATGGCGCCACACTTTAGCAGTGAGGTGCGGTGACGGGGCGGAGCGGAGGGATTTTTCCCACCGCCGGAGGCTCTTCTTGCCCTGGGACGCCTGTGGCGGCGGAGTCGGCGAGTGGCGGCGGTGCAGTGGCGGCGGTGCTGCTGCCTGTTGGTCTCGTCAGGGTCACTGCGAGGGTAGTATACTGCTTCTCCAGGTTTCCGGCTGAAGCGGACCCGTGTCCGTTGCTCATAGGGCAGCCGGAGTGCTGGGCAGTCAGAGTCCCGGGAGGGTGCAGCCCCTCCGAAGTGTGGGCAAGTTGGCTGAGGGGGATCCGCACGCCTCTGAGGGGTGCACCTCAGCGTGGGACGGGGGCTGTGAGGGAGAAGCAACCCTGTTGCAAGGAGTGGAAGAAAAATCACTGTAGAACACTTAAAAAAACCCAAACCAACCAACCAACCAAAAGCTTACAAGAGTTATACAGACCAGGAGGGAGAGACAGCTTCTCTCACGGTAAAACTTGATTTGAAGAGGAGGGAGGAAGGTGGCTGTCTACCAGATTGGGAAACCACCTCAGCGACAGGGCAGAGGGAGCCTGTCACCTTTAGCAAGGGAGAAGTGTCAGGGAGGGGGGACAGCAGCCTTGTGGAGGGAGGAGAAGCTACAAGCTTGAGGGTTCATTCTGTCCTTTTCGCAGGTATATCCCAAAATCACAGAAGTGATCCTTTCCAAAATGGATTTCCCTGTGCCATTGAAGAAGTAAACCTGTCAAATTAGGAATGCTACCTGATTCTTGAATCATGCAGTCCTGGTTAAGAAATTAATTCTGTTAGTTATATACCTCATGAACATTTTGAATGCTTTCCTGTTGGCCCTCTGAAGTCAACTCTGCACAGTAACTGGCTTGTTCAGAGATGCTGGTTAACCAGTCTGTTACAAGTATAATAAATTCCCTCCATCAGAATACAAAATTTCATTTTGCTCAGATTGCGTTCCCCACACTAGGTAGATCACTTTTGTGTCCTGTACATTTTGGAAATCATTATAAAATTGTTTATGCCTAATATTTAATATTTCTTTAACTTTCAGGACTGTCTTACCAAGTATAGGACTTACATTTGTGACTATGAAAAGTACATGTTCTGAAAGATTTTTATCTCCATTGTCAGCTGAAACTGAATTCTACCTATATCCAAAGCGAATGAAAATAGAAAGCAATCAAAGAAGTGTAGAGAAAGAGGAGCAGCAAAATGTAAACCAAAGCATACACTCTGTGAACAGATACCAAACATCAGAAAGACAAAACAACTGGGAATTAGAAAAGCAAAGTTGTGATACAGCAAGAAAAACTTGTATGAGAGAGTTTTTCTGTTTTCAGACTTGTAGCAATGAAAGATTACCATGTCGAGTATCAGAAAATAAAGTGTCCACCAAGAAATGGAGTCCTGAAAATGAGGACCAAAGTACTATAGAAGATGACATTTCATTGAAGGTACATGGGCAGCCTCTGGAAACAGAGTTGCCCAGTGTGTGGAGTGCTGCTAGCACATGTGAAAATCCACAGGTACTAAATCCACCTCAGGTGCAGCAGAACAGCAATACAAAACAAAACAATAAAAGCAGTGGTGATAATGAACTCGAACAAAATTCTTCAGTTACACCGTTGAACAGAGACTTGTTTCAGGTGCAATTGTTAAGTCATAAGTCTGCCTCTGATAAAAAGTGGAAACAATATCAGCTTTTGCAAATTCCATTTTTATGTGGTACCAGTTCTGTGTTTTCACACATAGAACATGAGAAGAGTCATTTTCTGAATAAGTCATGTAGTACAAAAGATAAAGACTCCACTAGTGATAATGAAACTACCACAGAAAGAGACAAAGAAAAAAATAATACATCATATATAATTCCAACATTAAAACCTTTTAGAAGTATACAAGCACTGAAAATCCCTAATTTTCAGTTTCCTAGCATTTCAAATGGAATAAATAGCAAAATGCCGCCAACTAACTTGACAGAGGTGGTTTTGAAGAATGTTAAAGGCCAACGATCTTCAATGCAATCTAAACAGATACATGATGTGCAAAAAATGGCTGAGAAGGAGAAACAAAAAATGCAAAGTGATACAAGCATTGTAAAAGCTTTGACTGTTGGTTCTAAATTTAAAGAAAAAAGTTACCCATCAATTAGCAAGCAAGACCACAGAGCTTTGGCAGAAGGAAGACAACTACCTGCAACTTATTTCAGATGCAACAGCACTGACATTGAGTGTAACCAAATATTTTCTAAATGTGATTTCAAAGATAAAATGCTGAAGAATCCAGATGGTGATGATGACCAGAAGTCAAGGATTCACATTTACATTAGTGCTAAAAATGTTCAGAATGACAAATGTATTGGCTATAGTGATCTCTTGAAGAGAATGGAGAGGAAGAGCAGTAATGAGAATGTGGGAACATTTCATATAGAGACAAGTTTTCCAGTAATAACAAAAGCATTAGAGAAAAATAAATCAGACATGCACTGTGGTGTGCATAATTCCAACAGTGATGTTAGTTTGTTTGAAGCAGAATCAAAACTCTGTATAAAAGAAATACTTGATTTCAAAAGATATTTAACTAAAACCACTATATTTGAAAATAATTGTCCTCACATTATTGTGCAGAGTTTTCCAGATATGAAAGTGAGTATCAGTATATTCAGTGGAAAGGAAATTTTCAACTTAAAGTTTTCATTTCCAAGCACATTGTTTGGAAGAATCAGGACATGGACTGAATCTTTGTGTAAAGATGTGCCCACATGTCAGGATGACAGCGTTACACATTGGCTTCATTTTCATGAGACATTAAACAAGCAGTGTGATGCTCAAGAGTTAGTAAACAGCGATATAAATAGGAACTACAACGATAGTTGTACAAAACAAAGCATTTGTTTGGTGGCTATTATTTTAAAGCATCTGAAGGTGGAACTACAAAGGACAATTCTTGCTTCCTTTTTCAGTAGCACAAATACCTTTTTGCCGGCTGAAGTAAAGTCTCTGCAAGTGGAGAAACACCCTTTGTGTAGCAGAAAGCAAGATCAGTTAAACTCATGCACAGACAGAACCTCAAGGCAAAACTCAGAATTTTGTAAAAAAGAAGAAACTTATCCGGTGTTCGTAAGTTCTAAATTTATGGGAAGCATTGGTTTTGAATTACAGAACGAATGGCAGAGAAGACGTTTTTCTAGATCTTTACGTGAAGATGAGTCCACTTTCCTAAACAGAGGAACCCTCTTTCATAACCAAAAAAGCAGAATATGTAAGGGGAGGCATGTCAGAAGGCACCACCTCTTATGCAAAGGGAGTGAAGTGTTTGGCACTTATTTGAGGTCGGTCAGTCCCAAAAACAGTATGAAAAAACAAACTTTAGTTGCTCAATGCCTAATCTTGCTGCAGGGAGCTTTTGATTATTCTTCACTCAACAAGATGTATTGCTGCAATATCAAAAAAACAGAGTATCTGTTAGGAGCAAATCATAGATTTTGGAGTTACTTTCCTGCCCATCCGCAACTGAAAGGTGAAAAGGTAAACAGTAAATGTATAAATCAGGAAATGTCGGTAACTCCAGTAAACCAGGAGAAGAAGAAACCCCATAAAATGTTCAATAGTTCTTTTCGTGGAGAAAGCTTGAAAGATTTCCCTTTTGTTTTATGTGCAAATAAGAAACACGGAACAACCAGATGCAGAAAATACATAACGTCTACAAATGAAGTCACAAATGAGGTCACTTACACCATGAAAAAATATTTGGATACTTCTGGTTATATAAACTCTGATAGAAAAGAATGTGATAGGTCAAAAGAGTTGCAAATAAATGTTCATAATTTTCTTTCTAAAACATCTTTTTCTATTTTTGACACGTATGAAAAAATTCCCCTTGCTACTAATTCTGAAGATTTTGACCAAATCCCATTTGTAAACCAAGACAATTCTGTCCAAAAAACGTTGTCTGAAGAAAATGCAGTCACTAGTTCAAAGGTTATTCATAATTTGCCCACTAAATTGAATGATATCTTAATTCTACTTGATCAGTCAGAAACAACTATGGAAAAAAGTAATTCTCTCTTGTTACAAGATAACCAACCAAACAAACCTGAATATTGCAAAAAAATAGACACATACAGCCCATGTTTAGCAAATAAAAAAATGGAAGACCAAAATACTTATTCAAATTGTGAAAATGCATTTCTTAGTTCCTCAAATGTTTATCAGTCTGTCACTTTGCCATTAGACAGCAGCTCTTTTGTCAATAAAGACAGAAAGGTAAGTGAAGATGGACACTGTGGGAGTTCCTCAAGCGCAGACAAACAAAACCAAAATGAAAACATTCATGCCACTATACAATATCCACCCTCGGGAAGTCCTACCATAACAGATACATACTTCCAATTACAGGCTAAAGAAACAGAACAGTTTTCTTTACAAGGGCACACAGCGACAAATGAGGCAGTCAGTTCAGAGCCAGCAACTTTGAAACAACATCTTGAATATGTAAAGCAACGGGAAGACATAAGTGATGAACAAATGCATGTAACTAATGAAAGTCAATGTGAGACTGTAATGAATGACTTGATTATGTCATATTCAGCAGATGAATCTAAAACATTCATTGCTGCAGAAGAGGAATTAAAAATGCATTTATCTGTACTGGACAATGGATGTCTTCAAGATGTAAAAGATAAGTATTTACCTTTAGAAAATAAAATCACATATGAATTTGAACTGAAGAGAAAATTTGATATAGTGCTAGAAGAGCTACATATGTTTCATGAAATTAGCAAGGGAGATGAAAACAATTTATCTAGTTTGGAAACAAACTCACATAATAATTATTGTGAATTAAATAATTTTGAAGGGATAGATGAAAATGTGACAAGTGTTTCTCAGAAGCAAATATGTATTTCTTCTCCAATCTCTGGAACTATAGAAGGGCAAAACATAACTGAGAGTAATGAAAGTTCATTAAATGAAAAGTTGTCAATTGAAAATGAAGACCAAAAAGTAACTGAGGAATATTGTATTTCAAGACTGTCAGGTGAAGAATTGTATCATTCACCTGTTGCAGAAGGTAAGCACATGGAATTATTGGCTATTATGTTAATAAGCAAGATTTGGTTTGCTTTAAAGGTGTGTTTCTCAACTAAAATAATTCCATAACAATAACTGAGTTTTCATTGAACTGTACGAGGTTTGTCAGACAAAAGGTACTTGCTTTTGTTTGGCCAAATGCAAAAACCTACGCTGCTCTGCTACCTGCACACTGTGCCTTAGCAGTTGTAGCTCAGAATTCAGTCAGTCGGTCTCAGGCTTGCTTAAATCTATCTTAATGCATAGTCCATTACACATTATTTCTTTTTTCTTCAATTTCATCATAGTAAACCCTAAAATCCCTGAAAGAGTCCGGTGGACATTTACAGAGAGAAAAGGCTCAATTGAAACTTGCTACAATATTCAGTAAGGAGATGACTATTTCCTTACAACTGATGTTTTCTACTGAAAACTTCTGTAATGTTATGAAAATCAATCAACTTCATATTTTCAAAATGGATTTTGCATAATATTCAGAAGTCTGTTTTCTCTGAGCAGCCATATTAATGAGGAGTCATATAGTCACAAAAAATTATTTTGGAGTTAGGTGATAAGTGGCGAAAGTCACATGTTAAACCTTTCTGGTTTTTTTATACCTGTAAGGGAACACAACAGCCAGTCTTGCAATATTTGCATGTTTTTGCATGACATGGTTATTTCTATCTTCTTTTTAAAGAACATTAGTTTGGGAAAATAGGAAAATAGTTTAACACAAGTTCATATAATAGATTAATGAAGACACATATGAGTATGTTCATGAGTGGTATGCCCTACTTGTCATGTGTGATATTTGTCTGTTTCTCTAATGTGTGTGCTAGTTATCTGTCCTCAGAAGTGAATTCTGGGCCATAGATACCAAATAGGTGAAAGTTTGCTGCACTAAGGATCTTAAGCTTGGAAAGCAGTGGTAGGTTTCTAAACATATCCTACACCTAATCTGTCATGGCCTTGCCCTAAGCTGTTCTTGACTAGTTCATTGCTTGTATTGTGTCCTGTTTTGGATGACCTAGCTTTTTCCATCAATCAAAAAGGGAGCATATGTACCTCACTTATGGTTCTGGCTTCCAGCCCAGGCCTTCACAAAATTTAGGCAGCACTATAGTTGGGTTTGATTAAAGTTTATGTGCTGCCTCTTAAAATTTATTTTATTTTTCCTTAAAGGAACAGAATCCCCACTTCAAACAATACATTGGAAATCCGTGTTGTACGCTCTTAACACTCCTGCCCCATTTGCTGCAGAATCATGAGTATTTAATGACTAAAGGAAGAGCACCAAGAAGAAAACCTGTTGAATGTTGTCCCTTCTCTTACAAATAGCTCCTATGTGATTAGGAAAATATTCAGGCACTTTTCAAACAGCGTGATTATCAGATTTTATACCTGAAATTCAGTTTGGAGAAGTTATGACTTCTCACAACTGCAAATAAAATCACTAAGAGATACGCTTTGGTCATATTTGGTAAATTCTCTAATAAAATGCAGCCATCTCAAATTTGGCATCTGAAATCAATCTCTCAGGGACATGGCTCTACATTTATAAAGTGAAGATTACAGGGGTTTTGTGAAGGTAATTAGTGTTTGTGGAGCAATTAGAAAAGTGTCACAGGAAAGCCCCGGAGGGAATTCTTTTCAGTAGAGCTTTAACAGTTTAACGTGCTGTAAGTTACACCTGAATGCCTTGCCCCAGAGAATGAAAAACGGAACAAATACTGGATAAATTGCTCACTAAGTGAAAACTTCTCTGTCTAAGACTGGAATAAGAAGATCCAATTGGAGAAAATTATATGTCACCAGAGGATTAAAGACTGCATCATTGCATCTATGCAAAACAGAACTTCATGAAGTGTATAGATAGCTTTCGACAAGCCTCTGAGAGTGAGATTTTGTATCTTTGTTCATATTTCCCATAACATGCACATATATGTTTTACTGACATCAACAAGAACTGCAAATGAATAACTAGATGAAACAAACTTAGTTGTTTATAGAAATAAGTTAAAATCTGAAATGCTGTATTTATGCTTCTGTTTTAAGGCTATTTTGATGCAGCTTATAAAAAGCCATACACATGGGACCCTGCTTTTTTATCCTGCGCACTTAAGGAACAAAATTATAATTTACAGAAAGAAGGAGGTAAGAGTAGTATTATTCTGTTATTTATATCACAAATACTAGTGCTCATAAACTTATTTCTCAAGCATTTATACTTGTTTCTTCCCTTTACAGCTTTCTATTGCAATCACATTTTGTTTAATTGTAGGTTATTAGAAAGCTGTCCTGTCTTTGGCTTGGGTCACAGAGCAAGTATTGCAAATGAGTCTTTTTGTTCTTTGGATAGGAGAAAAGAAGTCTAACAATGTGGGATTTCCTTTTTGCTACTTGTAAAGCCATTTAGAATAAACAATTTTTGGCCTCTGATCATTGTGATATAGCCAAGATATACTACAAGGAGAACATGCCTGGATACACTTTTCTTGGAAGAGTTGCAGTTTTGGACACATGGATGGAAATTCAGAAGTATATTGCTAATCAATCTGTTAAAATTTCAAAAAGCATGCTTTTGCATTTTTTGCAACACTTGGAAACATTTGGTAAAACAAGACTATTGATTTATTCTGAAATGAAATACTAAAACATAGTAAGGAAAAGGCTACAGATAACTTCTGTCTCACTATGACAAGTCGTGTACAGATATTTTCACTTTTATTTACCATTACACTTTCTTAAAATTGATTCACTCTTTGCTGTTCTCAGAATTCAGAAAGTCATTTCCTTCATTCAGGCATTTTGTGAAATAATGAGACTGACAATTTAGAACATTTACAGATGAACTCTGGTGTTCTTTTTGCCTGTTTTTTATTGGAGATAAGTCATCATTTGGTAATATTTCATATACCAAATTAAAAATGTTACAGCATATACTGCTCTACTTTTTTACTGTTTATCACACCTCTATGAGGTGTTGATTTTAGTGGAAGTTTGTTTGTTTGTATTTTTTGGTGGTTTTTTTGTGGCAGGTAGATTCTAGTTTCTGACGTTTGTAGTAAGTGTTGTTATAGCTTAGGGAAAATTCAAATTCCAGAATGCTGTATTGTGCATCACAGCACAAGATGGTTGATATCAACATCTTCTTGGAAGTTTTGTACAGGTAGCGTTGAAGCTTACCGGATGGAACAGTGCAGCTCCTGCAGAAGATCAGAAGATGACTGAACCTGCATCATCTTCCCTTTATTCTTTCCCTGTTGTTTTGGGCCACAGGCCTCAGGGCAAAAAACCCCAAACATTTTCTCCATTGCCATTAGCAGTCACTATTCTCTTTACATTGCTTCCCAGTCTTTTTTAAGTTCCTATCTGAGTTTCTCTAGAAATATTTGGAAGGAAACCTTTGCCATGAGTGACTTTTTTTTTCCCCCGATTGCTGAGAAAACGTGCAGGTTTCTAGGGCAATGGCAGATTACTAGGTCATTCTATACCTTACTTCCAGAGCTTTGTCAGAATCAACGGGCACCTAATATACTTCCAGTAGAAGAAGTTGAAAAATTGCAATATATCATTCTCAGTTGATAGCAAATAGGGAACAGCTGAGTATCTTCTTTCTTTGAGATGGTACATTGCTTCTGTGCTGTAATCTATATTTTACAGACTGTTCTCTTCCCTTTACACTTAACATTGCCTTAGAGATTATTCTGAAGCAAGAACTATATCTGTTTTTGTCAAGGGGAATACGATATTTCCTGTACTGTTAGGAGTTAATGCTGTTAGAAGTTTCGCTGATGCGTTGCTGTCTCCCTCTATTTTTCAGTAGGATTCTGAGCCATCACATGTGCTCTTATATGATTTGGGTTGGTTGTGTATCTTGGATGTGATCACTCCTTTTCTTTTATGGAATCCAGGCCTGTTAATGCCAAAACTCTGTGGCTTCATCCAGCATATTGCTCCCATAGAAGATTAGGAGGTACAAGTTTTACACTTACTGGTATCAGTGAGATCTTTGTTTTACAGCCCACTGTTTGCTCACATGAAGTGACCGTTGCCTCAGAAACCGTGACTGTTTTGGAAAGAAGATACCTTGGTGAGACAAGGAGATTTATACCTCAGCAGTTTTACAATTCAGCATGACTAACTACCGTGATTTACTGGCTACATATCAACCCAAAACACTTGACTGACTTTTAGTGCATGCAGTTCCTCTTCCAACTGACTCTTATGAGTCTTATAAAAGACATAGCAGCATTACTATCTCATCATTGACTTAAGAATGGAGCTTTGTTTTTTCTTTCTCATCCCGTAATATAAAATTCTTGCAAAAGGCAAAGAGTACTTTTTTTCTCCCTTTAGTAGGATGCCAGCTGAGTGCCTAAGGCTCTGATGAGCTCACTATTTGATATCCTAACTAATTGCTCAGTGGTTCATCATTTTATAGAATAATGGAAAATAGAACTGGAAAAGATCTTGAGAAATTTTATAACTTCTTATGTGATTATTATTTCTTCTGTATAACTCATTGTCCTAATCTCTGGTTTACAAGGTTGTGGTTTTCCATTCTTCCCCAGTAAGTATATTATATTTTTGCAAATCAGAACAGCTTCTAAAGAATAAATGAATCATGCTTCAGATTACTACATGGTGTATACCTGACCTAATAGACTATGGAACAGAAAATCCACATCCTTCCGTCCTACTTTCTGTTAAATGAGTGGCACAGGAGAGGGCATCATGATTATTAACACCAGTACAGTGATGCCCAACTCTGTAATTTGAATTTGTACAACTAAACCCCTCAGACTAGCGGTAAGTATCAAAGCATACTGCTCACAGCATGTCCCCTCTGCCATGGAATGATAATTTGTATCAAACTATGTGACTTCGCCAGTCTGTTAGGAAAATTACATGATGTTAGGTTGAGGATCCTTCTAATTAGAAGGAATATACACGTGACCCAGCTGTTAGCATTTAAATTTGAACCAAAAAGAATATGTTAAACGCTCTGCAGCTGAACTAAATGGAGATGCGATAGGATGTAGAAAAGGACCGAGAAGCTGTAATTAATGCTCATCCAATTTATATATCTTGGCAGTATGTAATTCTGGTGTATATCGTATGGAATTCTGGGTTGACTTTCACTTTTTCTTTCCTTTTTTTTTTTTAATTTTAAATATAGGATACTTTCTGTCACGTGAAGTTATAAGACTACAGCCTCTTAAAACATGCAAGGGCCCCATCAGGATTGGGCTGTCAAAAAAAGCTCGGCCCAAACAGCTTCATCCTTATCTGAAATGATTTACTGGATCATTTTACCAGTCTTCAAGTAGAATCACTCTGCCTGAAAATGGAATGTTTTTCTGTTAAGTTTTTATGTTGATAGTTTGATCTTTGTGGTTTATGAGGTTTTTTTAGATATTAATATTGCAGTATTTGCTAGTGATTTATTTAGGAAAATTCCTGTGAATATTTGATAGCAAAGGGATTTATAATGAATGTTTACTAGTAGAAGCTTTAATGGGATGATGAAGCCCTTTTAAAGTTTATGTAATATTAATAAAATCTGACATGTATTTTTCATCTATTAAAATATACAGTTGAAATTTTCTGTCAAACATTCTTAGAATCCTCTGTGTGTGAATATAGTTTTAAAAAATCAATCAGTATCTTTAAAGGAATTTGTTACAAGTGTTTAGAGAGCTGTAGAAGAAAATTTCAGGAAGCTAAATTTAGGTTACTAAATAGGAAGATGGTGTTTTAAGCCTCAGAGGTCATTTTCTCTGATGTGCTTTCAGTTCCATGCGCTTGTCCTGTTAGACAAAGAAAACTCTTGAATTTCAGTGCAGATTTGGGAAAGAGGAAAAGGATAAATGTTATAGAGTGTCTTATTCTGAGGGTACTGATTCCATTGCATACCAGATTTCCAATTCTGGAGACTGTATATCTCAAAAATCTGGGAAACTTGGGCTGATCTGAAGCCTACAGGTATTGGTTAGGGACATCTGTTAATAATTATTAATACACTGACACTTGTGTTCTATAATCAAGAATAATGACAGTTTCAACTAAATAAGAGCACAGCAAGAAACTAACATGGCTGAACTCTGAAAAAAAAAATCACAACTGTGTCAGAACAAGAGTAATCCAATGCCAGAAGAAAGCTTTTAAACCCTCTGTATGCGATTGCACAAAGCTTTTTAGAAAGACCATATTTTACATTGCAGGGAATGAGAATTTCAGTATAACAAACATTACAGAATAGTGATGGAATGATGATTAAACCTGGTACAACTAACAATATGTGGTTGCAGCTGTCACAAGGAAAGCTGAGCAAGCTGGATTGATAGGGAAATTCATCTTTAGACAAATTATTCAATAGAATCTATAGCAAAAGTACAAAGTTTATCAGTACACAGTTAATCTGTTTATCAGCAACCTTCAAAATATGATATCTATAATAAATATGTCAGTATTTTTATTCTTTAAGGGCCTAAATATAAAAAGGAAATTCAGTACACAATGTTGAGAGAAAACAATGAGACAATAAAAACTTATAAAGTTATTATAATTTGGTTTATATTTTCTATTATTCTTATATGAAGTAGCAAATATGTCCAATGAGCATTTGTTTCTAGGAGCTGCTGGTTCTAAAACAAGGGTTTCTAAGCATACTTGTGCACCACAGGTTGTCCAAAAGGTGTGGTAAGTGCTGTGCACCTGGTCTAAAAATAATTTTAAACAGTAAAACTTACTAACTTTCCATTAAAGATATAATGATGCAAGTGTAAGATAGTCCATGCTAATGGCTAAGCATATTTCTGGAGGCCACAGGACAAGAAATTATCCTTCCTATATCTGTAGATATCTATGTGAAAGTTTAAAAAGGCTAAGCAAATGGGCAACTAGTAAACAGATTCAGAAGCAATTGAAAAGCAGGTGCTAGGGCAGGGCCATTAATCACCTCCCTTGCGAATGTGCAAGTCAGCCTGAGGGGTCCAGTCAGGCAACTGAACAGACACGGGGTGAACCAGGCTTTGTGGCACCTTCACCATCAGCAGCAGACACCTCTGTCTCAGAGAGGATAACTTGGTGTGATAGATCAGGATGATTGTGTGCAAAAACTTGTGGACTTGTGGTTGGTAGCATCCCCTAACTCTCTACTCTGTCTTCCTTGTACTTCATTTTAGTACTTCATTTTAGTACTTCATTGTGTGAGGTGTATAGATTTTCTGAATGAATAATAAACAGATGCTGGTTTCTCAGTGCTTTATAAGAAGTATCATCTTAAGTTTCCCTGGATCCCAGTAAGTAGCAACTGACTAAAATTCTTTAGCTGAACATTATTGTGCACCTGGCACAGAGCAAGGAGAGCTGGTCGTACCTGAATGCCTGCCCCCCGCCCCGAATTTTGTCCTCACAGCTGGGCAAACATTTTCTTGAGGCTGATGTTTACAATAGGAGGATTTCTTACAATTTAGGAGCAATGCTTTTGTATTTACAACACATTCTCTGATCTGTTTGGGAAAGCCTCTGTCTATGCCATTCCCTGTCCTATCAAAGAGGGAAAAGATACCTTTACTCCACAGAGCCATTTTTCTATATCCTTCTCTGTTGGCCTGTGATCACTAATTGGGAATACAATAAAACACTGCATTTATACTAGTTTATAACAATTGTGAGGCACCTCTGATGGCCATGGCTTGGAAATCTGCATACCGTTTCTGTCCTAGCACAACCTGACACTCCTGGTGTTTAGAACATGGTGTTACTGGGTGTCAGCCACCTTGAAAAAGCCACTAACCACAGAAGTTTACAGATCAGCACAAGGATAACAAGTATGTGTGTCGACCACCAGCTTCCACACCACAGACAGCAGCTTTTAATGTCCAGGGGTCATGGCCTTTAATGTCTAAGACAGAGGCCTCATAACATAATTCTTTGTTATTAGCGTCCAACATGGAGTATGAAAATGGACTTCATAATTCTTAAATCAGCTACTTTGATAAAAGTTGTGAAGTCATATATGGAGATGATGTGACCCCACCAAAGGGTACTCGTAATGAACACTGAGAGCTAATTCTGAAACTAAATACACTGGTCCTTCAAATTCCTACATAATTTTGTTCTGCCTTACACTAAACTTCAGGATGCCTGGAAACTCAGATTATTTGCAGGAATCAATCTCAAGGAAAGATTCCATTAAATTCCATTAAATTTCATTGTTTATACAGCACATCATACTTCCACTGAAGAACTTTGCTGTCTAGTCAAAAGTTAAGATACAAAAAGTCTGATACAAGATAGGAAATATCTTTAAAATAAGTTAGATTGTAACCGGCCCCATTATATACTATTCTTAGAATTCAGAAACATGCTTATTTCTAAATCAATGAACTCACCTGCTTCTAAAAAATGTCTTTTTGATGCTTTTATATGAAAACACTAGAATTCTCTTGTGTGCATGATACAGAGGTAAACAGGCCACTTTTTCAGGACAGAACTAAAAATCTTAATTCACTGAATTTATATTCAGTGTCAAACTTCCTTGTGTTTAATGATACACAGTTTGTGCAAGAATGTTCCGAAAAATATCATGGAAAGTACACTGGAAATACATAACTGTCTTTTCAAACTTAAAAAACACCCAACCACAAAAACCCAGACTATCAATCAAGTAAAATTACAAAAATCAGACCATGCAGACAAGAATAGTCCAGCTGAGATATTATGTAAACTTTATGCTTCACTGATCATTCAGCTGGAGATACTTGCTATCAACATGTTCTCATCTTAAATAAGAGAGGAAGGGCTGACATTGGGAACGCTGGCCTGGCCTTCTGCCGACTTCAGCTTCCCCAGCCACCATCAGCTGGAAAAGCCCAGGTACCTTCCTATGCTGGAGAGAAAGACGCGAGCGTTCAGCTGTGCAAATCAGCCACAGAAATGGGCACTGTTCCATTGACTTTTGGAGCTGTGCGGGTGTATGCCAAGTGAAGATCCCGCCATATCTCTTTGCATATTTTATCGAAGCAATGTGTATAGATTTTGAATTTTTTCACTGCAGACACAGTATTTAGTGATATTTTTTGAGTTAGCTTAGTAATGCTGACTCTAACGGAAGTGCAGATGTTAAGTGTCATTATACTTTAATAATTATGCAGAAAAGCTTAAATATAATTTCTGAATAATTTTTTATCAGCTGCTAGAACAATAGATACAGCTATGGCTTATTTAATACAAAAGGATTCAATTACAGCCTAGTGAAAGCCTTAAATTCTGTTGTATGTACCAATACATGTGATTTTTTTAATAAATAGTAACTGAATGTATTGTTTTTGTCTGCCTTTTGAATGACTGGATGCAAAGCAGAATGACTGCTCTTCTCAGTGTATTTTGGATAAACGTGGATGATTAATAAGTGAACAAATGCAAGACTTTAAAAATCAAGCTTAATAACAGCACCTGTATAGTAGAAGTATAGCTATTGTCTCTTTCAGGGAGTTGAATTGAAACAGGTGAAGAAGTCCTGTCCCTCCTTCTACTGTTGGATGGCAATTTCCAAACAAGAACAGATGACAAACATTTGAGGGAAGGTGTCGCAGAAAGGGCTGGAATGATTGTATAATAAAAGGTTCATCATCAAGCAAGGTGGCGCCAGGGCGTTTTGTGAATATATGTTACCACAAAGCTTCATGTGGTTTTAAGGATGAGCTCAACTTTTGTTCTTACAACTCACATCCAGTTCAGTTTTGATCTTAGTGCTCTGCTCCCCACATGGACATCCCATCATGTCATTTCCACACACCACTGGAGAATGTACCTGCCACTGTCCCCTAGCCAAGCCCCTGAGGTCTCTTTACCAGCTGTGCTCCTGCTGAGCTGTCACGGGAGCATTTCTAGGCAGAGTGTTTGGTAAACTCAAAATACATTTTAAGAATACCTGGGAAAATTAAAAAATTAATTTTGTTTTGTTACGTATGATTCAGGTGAAAATGTAAATAAGAACACTTGTTTCAGCATTTGTCCATTGAAGGTCTGGGTGATAGATGAAAGGATGACAGCTATCTATATGAAATACAGCAATTTAACATTGACAAGTTAAGATTAATTTCATAAGCAAATTACTTCCTCATGATTTAATAAGGTAAACAAAGTAAACAGTCATCTTGTACAATATATGCTACCATTTGATATTTGACCTGAGTCAATGCTGCGGTAGAAGAGACTAAGTGTTAATAGCTAAAAAGAAGTATATGTTCCAATTTGTGATTTAACGTTTTGTCCACACAAAGCCCCTT